GGGGCCGCGCTGCTGGGGACCCCTACGCGCTCCCGGGGGCTGGGAGCCCGCTGCCAGGCCCGCGGATTATCCCTGCTCCCTGCCCTGCGTTCCCACCCACCCTCCGGATTTTTCTCACCCTTCTCCTCCCCCTTCCCTCCCTGGCTGCCAGAATAACTCTCTCCCCCCTTCCCGCCAGGCCAGGTTCCCGGACCCCCACCTGGATGTGAAGCAGGCGCCTTCCCAAGCCAGCACGGGCTGCTCCGGAGGGGTACGAACATGGGTCTCCTGGAGGAAGGATGCTCCCTGCCCTGCAGTTCAACCCCAGCATTGCCCTGGGCCAGTTTTTGGGGCAGAGACTAAAAGCCAGGCTTCCCAAGGCTTGAGGCTGTTCCCAGGTGGGGTTTGGGAACAGACTGGTCTGCCACTAGCACACGTCAACTGGACACACTGGGGATGATGTACGAACAAGGTGTGGAGAAGGCAGCTCCTGGGAAAGACCCCCTAATGAGGAGCGATGGATGCCGCATACTTCGGAGAGACAGAGTAGACTGAACGACCCCACGACAAATAAAGAGAACTCCACCAGGGCGTTAAAATACTGTCCCTTTGCCCTGCTGGGGTATCCCTTTGTGTTGGGCAAACTGTCATCCATGGAGAGAAAACTTAGTTAATTTATGAGACCAAAAGACGTGGTCATGGAGTGGCCATGGGAACTCCTAAGTTCATCAATTAACCACAACCAAAAGCCAGCTCAGAAACGATGACTGCAAACCAGCACGTTCCCACAAACCACCAGGCCACTGTGCCCAAGTGGACAGCAAGCTCGCGGCAGCGCGCGGCGGCTTCCTCACAGCACTGCCCCGAAACTCACACAGTCAGATAGGACTTCTTTTAATATTTCACTTTTTTTTAGCTCAGCCCTGACCCATGCATTAGAAAAGCCCAGGGATGTCACTGAAAGGACACGCACAGATAAAAGGCAGTGCTGACACTGTAATATCTCTGAGTTATTCCTATACCACTCTGAGTTTAAAAGAAACATCTGTTAGCAAGGTATTTGGACTATGAATCCATCAAAATTTGTGAAATATTGCTATCGCCATTTCAAATGTATCACACTGTGTGTTATTCTTAACAAGGAAAAACAATTTTTGGAGTAGCTGCTGTGCAACTTTTTAAAGTTAAATAACATTTTCATTGAAAATACTCCAGTCTATAAACAAAGTTTATGCAAGGGCCTGTATAGCACTGCTCTTAAAACAGACCTCTGGATTTGGAAAAGCAACTCGCTCCCTCTTTGTGGGAGCAGCAGCGATAGGTTACGCTCTTTGTCTGAAGACCTCACTGGGGTTTTGTTAGGATCAGAGAGCGGCCGTGTTTGAAATGTTTGTCACTGAGGAATTCGGTCCCACGGCATCCAGCGCCTGCTCTTGTAAGCCGTCCCGTTAAACCGAGATCCAAAAAGTTGCTTATGCAATGCTGGTTAACCATGCCTCTGTGCAAGGAGGTGGCCAGCTGGGGACAGAAAGCCAGTGGAGAGCAGTGTGGTTTAGGCTCTTGTAGGAGGCAACAGTGTATTTGAGTAGCTTAGGGGTTACTAAGAAGTGTTAGTCATGGGGAAAGCTGTAGTATTTATTCCGTAAAATGTAAATACATAACCCAAACCACAAAGGAATAACCATGGATGGAAATAGTGTAGCATTTACTGAGGGAGCTGAAATGCATGTCTACAGAAGCTGTATTTCCTTAGCCCCACGGAGAGTAATTCACCTTGAACGTAGCTTCTGCTCAAGCCTGTGCAGTTACACACAGGCTGAATTTGGTCCAGGCACGCTAAACAACCGAGTGTGTTATATATTCCAACCAAAAAAGTGAATGCCAAAATGGAGCTAAAAATACAAATGTGGAAGGTCTGAAAAGCAAACACTGCTTAATTCAGCGGCAGATACAACATCGTGCGTTTTAAAGATCCAGCACATCAAAAATAGAGAACATTATGTCTATGCTCAACGCAAGACGCACCTCCCCCTGCATCACATCTCGCGTGGGTGAGAGGGGGCTGGTTCTTGCCTGTGATCCGGTCCCAGCCGTATTTGGGGTTCTGCTGCCAGGTTTTTTCCCCTCTGACTTCCGTGAAAAACCACCTGGGGATCTCTGCACCTGGACAGCAAGACCACTGGCCTCCTCTGGAAGCTAAGCACCAGGTCACTGGGGACGTCACCCTGCAAAGAATGGCCAGACAAAGAGGCGATTCATGTCTGTGCAGATCTTGACTGTGACAGAAGACTTGTTTTGTCGGTGGCAGCGAGAAGCCCAGGAGCTGGCAGGCCTCCTAGAGTCCGGGTACCCAGCTCTGCTTGCAGAGGTCACTAGCCAAGGGGCAATTATTTGCTCTCTTTTCTTTCAACCCAGTAATCGTGGATTTGCCCAGATGAGTTCCTGATAAAATCCCAGCGCCTAACTTTTGACCCGTTTCCAGGTTTCGTGTGCTCAGGACCTACCAGCGGGCCCTGCAGCTCGATGTTCAGCACCTCTAGAAATTAGGCCAGTTCTGTTTACAAGGCAAACTTTCCCCTTAATGGCAGCATTTCAGGAGATGCCTCTGGACTCTGGCAGAGAGAGACCTTCCCAAACCAGTTCTTGCATCTTCTGTTATTTTTAGAGCAGCTGCACATTTTGGGCTCCAAAGTTTGCAAACAACCTGCCCTAGGAAACTCATCTCACCAGATTTGTGCTTGAGCAGAAACAAGCCTAAAACCATAAATAAATAAATAAAGTCATGTCAGAGACGTTTTAATTACATGAATTACAGGAGGAGATGCCCGTAAGTGTGCTAAGATCAATTCCCTCCCACCCTTTCCTTTCAACTGCCTAAGCTTATCAATTAAAACAAAGAGAACTGAGCAAACAACTCCAAGGGATTACATTTTCCAAAGTAGCTCTTCACTAAACAGCCGGACTACAGCCGCTGAAAACAAGTGCAGCTGCTTGAATGGCGAAAGGAACATTTTTTACAACCACTCTGAGATTTTTGCGATTTCTCTGAACGCTTCAGAGCTGGCCTGTTCTACCAGAATTTCCTACCTTCTCTTGAATAAAGAAATTCATCCTTCTGAAGCAGAGGACTGGGCCCAGCTTGGACTTCATTTCTGCTTGACATTAAAGTGCCTCTGCTGAGGTGTCAGGACCACGTCTAGAACCACTCCTGAGCTAAGAAGAGAATCAGGTTCAGGATTGCTGTTTTATTCCAAACAGTTTTTTTTTACAAATACGTACAAAAACACTGTGTGGGAACATTAAAAAAATGCAGTTATAAAAAGGCAATCTTTGGTAATCAGATACACAGCAGTTGAAACAGTAGGATTGTCTGCTCTTTTCTATCTTTATGTTTTTAAGGATGATTTTTATTGTTTTGCAAATGCTATTAAAAGATTGACTGTCCCACACAGGGAGAATCTTTAGTTGCTTTTACTTGATTCGTTCACTTTGTCACTTTTCGAAGATCCCGAAGACTGAGCAAGCCTAGAAGTGTCACCCCTTGCTTTTCATACCTACATTGTCCGTCTTCTACTGTGAGAGTGTAAGGTCTCTGCTGCTAAATATTGTTCCTTAAGAGACGCTTGCGCAGTGCATCAAAACTAGGAGGCCTGGGTCTTAGGGAAGTGCTTCAGCAACACAACTCGTAAAATAAAGGTAGAGCCATTTTAATGGTCTGTTATTAAAATTCTCCTGAACTGTGTTAGAAACACCTCTTTAAGCCATCTGTTGTAAAATCATCTACACATCGATTGGTTTCCTTGATCAACGTTACAAGAAGAATATGCACTGACCTCACGCAGCTTTTGGAAAGAAACGTCGCCTTTAGCACACGTTTGCTTCCGCGCTGTATTACTCACCACTCAATCAAAGCCTCATCCCTGAGAAGCAAGAAGGACCTCCAGAAGATGAAGAACACATTCCTCCTGCTCTGAAATTGTAGCTGGTACTAATAAAGACCATCGTTCTTCTAACGAACGCCATACGGCCATATGGCTATCTCAGATAAGCAGATTCATTTTGGATCTGTTGAGTCATGAATACTTTTTGAGAATACCGCAAGCGTTGGCAGCTCCCTTAGCGTACATACCACTCCAGTGTGTCTCTAGCACTGATACGCGGCTCTGTCTGAGTTCAGCTGCGACTCTGATATTTCAAATGCTTTGCTCTTCCTCACTGTCTAGCAACGCTGCCAAATCTACCATTCCACACAACCACGTGGCACCTCCGGGGTGCCGACATTTGTCTTTGTCCTTTAATTGTATCTTGAGATCTGCTATCGTCAGAAGCTTTAATGATTTCAAACACTAGTACAAGGCGTAAATAAGCAGAGCAGGACAACTGCTGCAAAAATAGTTCACACCAGCTCTATCTGATTTTCAGCAATAGCAAAGGACTTTACTGGTAGGTGTTACCACAAGTGCTGGGAAATGTCAGCACATCGCTGAATTTTGAGTTCATTAATGTGAACATCCTCACCTGAAAGCAGAGAGGGAGGATCCTGCTAGGGATTCCCAGTCGGGAAACACGGACCTGCCCTGGGGCCTCCATCTCCAGCAATAATAAACTGGTGGGGCTCGTTTGTACCAGTTGCCTGGTGACAAATAATCGTCAGACCAAGGATCGTTCTTAGAAAGTGCTCGCTGAATAACCTTACACAATGAACGTGTAGAGCATGAGCTTCCCACAGACACGCGACAAGAAAGAGAGCGCTTCCGAGGGAAAGGCTCTTTCTCCACACACATATATACGAGGCTGCAGGTTGTATGGGCTTTGTAGGCATTCCTCATCAAGCTACTGTCCTACTTCTCACTCAGTGTCATATGTACTTTTATAAACATGTATGTGTATATAAATGTGTGTACGCACAAACCCACAGGCACACGCATGTATCCATCACATTCGGCTAAAACATACTAAGAGCAGCAGGATCCTAACCAAGGCGGGACCTTGACGGCTTATTCTAGTACAAAACAATCCATGTTAGGGCAGGAGCTTTGTCAGGACAACCCAGTTCACTGCAAATATCCTACAGGTTTAATCGTTATGAAGGGGGTAGTGCCCTGTACAGCAGAAGGAAGGAGCTAAAAGAACCTGCAGTCCTTCCTGACAAACCTTTTAGCAGGATCTACTTCACTACAGTGCGGCAGGGCTCTGTTTTATTACTGATAAAGCAAGCTAACGAGTGAGGTGTTAGCTGGGTTTATTTTCAAGGTAGAGACACTCTTACTTACTGTTACCTGCTCTGCTCCGTTCTCGGGCAACAAAAAGCTCTTGTAAGCAGAATCAAAGCCCACCTTCTCTCCCAAACAACTACTACCCAAAAGCACCTGAGCAGGGGCGGTGTTTGTGTCAACAGCAGTGAAACCTGATTTCATTTTTGGCTCTTTTCTACATAAGCAATTATCTGTTTTCCCCTTCACTGCTTCCGTCATACACAGACACTGACTCAGCAGCCTAAAGGAGGCCTTTAGCTACCTGGGAAGTTCAAAGGCGATAGGTTTGGTGCAGTGCTGCAAGTACTGAGATGCCTAAAGGAAGGTTGGCCTAATGATGAAGGAGTTGATTTGGACTTCAGAAGGTCTAGGTTCAGCTTTGTGCTCCTGTGACGCTGGCTGAATCACCAGGAACCTACTTTATCCAAGCGGCTAAGCATACGCTTAACAGCGAAGAGTAATTTAAAAAAATGGGGAAAGGAGGCAATTAGAATTAAAGGCATGTCAGAGCCTCCCTTCTGGAAGAGCAAGAGCATTTTGCACCATTCTCAGAAATAAAGCAAAAATAAACATTAGTTCCAAACAGGTCCTCAAATTCCAACCCAGCAAACAAGAGGCTTTCAAACCATTTCAGTGGGGCTCCAGCCCCTGGGAGCATATTGGAAGAGTAACATTAACACGGAGACCCTGTATGATCTGTCATTTACACCACGTGAAACGAAAGTTGTACTGCCCCATACATCGTGGAGAGACACCCAGTGATTCACGTCTCATCTACAGCAGGAAGACCTGGGCTGACTCTCCTGTCTGTTGCACCCGCTTGAGGAGAAGAGCAGAAGGGAATCATTGCTGCGGGACATTTCAAAAACTACAGAAGCAAAATCTCTTCCATAAGGAAGAAGCGAAACTGAATATGCCTGGAAACTAGGAATTAAACACATTGTAGTCAGCGGTGGGTTTCCAGCATTTTCCAGAAATAGTCATCAGGGCTTTAGATTACTGGCTGGCAGCCACACGGCCTGTGAACTGAAGGGAGGCCAACTTCTTGACCTGCAGGCTTCAATGCAAAGACAGCCTGTACTCTCTGATACCTTATCCAAACGATGTGGGCAAACCAGCGTTGTACGTGTGTACCGTGCGTGTCTGATCCCACAGGCAAACTAGGCTTTCTATTAAAGGCCGTTTGCAGGATCTACGTAGTTTATTTTTTAAAATACCAGTCACCAAACAGCTTACGGAGGAATAAAACTGAGGAACTGGCTCATAAAAAAAGGGAGAAGAGGGACTTTTAGGAGAGGAGTATCTAAAAATCAGTTTGAAGAAGAACAAAAATGAAATGGCAAAAAGGGAGCGAGTCTGAAGACCTCCCATATCTCGCTCTCTCTTACGTGTGAAGGGACCTTGGAAGTGAGGGGTTGGTCACCCACACAGAGGTCCACCTGGGCAGAAGGGTTTACAGAGCCAGACCCCAGAGGATAAGCAGGAAGACAGAACAGGGGAGAAAACTGATATGGGAAAGAAGTGAAAACCAAGAAGGCAAATTCAGTCTGGGCAAAGGGCCAAGGCAAGGCCAAGTGCAATTCTAGAAAACGGGACCGAAACCAAAGGCACCAAGGTGTCACGACAGGCTAGCACTGGTCTGCAAAGACAACCCGGAATGACGCAACTGGCAGGTGCACAGCATCACCCAGACGTGAAGAGAAATAGGCTTAAAACTAGATTTTTGAACAAAAGGCTCAGGATGAAGGGTCTGAACCAGCAGTTTCTACTTGTGCAGGATCTGGGGTTAGCAAAACACTGGTATCTCCCAGTACCAGCCCCCTGGGCACACTGGTGTTACAATTTGAGTCACGGAAAGCAGAACTAAGTCGCAGCAATTTCCCTGAGGACCTCTTTGTTCCCCTGGTCGCACCC